GAATTGTTATTTTTATGCTGAAATCTACATCATTTTACTGACAATATCAATCCTCACATTTGCCTCTGGATCAATAAAGCTCAACGGTACAGTAATTTCGCGACTGGTAATTTGAGTTTCCATTCATCCTCGCATTCGCGAGAGACGCTTCAATAAAAGAAAACATTTCTCCATGACAACAATTTGCTCTCCTGTTCTTCATTCCTGAGGGCAGAATCATGGCATGTGGAGAGGATGGGACCACTCGAGTGGAGGAAACCTCATCTAGACTCCGGCGAAAAAAGATTGGCTTTTTGGGAGATCTGATTATGGCGGCTATGGGGTCTATTGACTGCCCTACATATGACGCCGAAGGGTCTCCGCTAATATTCTCATTTCCACTTTACGAAAAAATCGATTGCAGTTCATTTATTGACTCTCGTTCTCGCGGAGAATTTTCACCTCATAAAGACAATTCCAAGTTTTGCATATGATTCGACTAAATAAAATTAACTACTTCCTTCAATTGCATCGATAATAACTCCAGGCATGAATTTTTTTCTGGATGAAATATGCCAGGGATATAATGAAAAATACTCGTGAGGGGACTATCTGTCAATTTAAAAAAAAAAACCGACAAAACGGAATCAATATTCCAGAAAAAGACAGGCTGAGGCGAAATGGCCCCTTTAAACATTTCTAAAATGTTAAAAATTTGAGCTCAACTCAGTTAATTAAAAAAAACCGACAAAACCAAATCAATAACCTTCTCTAAAACATTAAAAAAAATTGTGAAAAACTCGTTAATTTTCCTCGTCTCAGGCTCATCACGACCGGAAAAAAATTTAAAAAAATTCTACAATTTCACCCCCAATTCGATAATTCCTTAAAATAAAAACCGCAAGTGTCCATGTTGCCCCACTCACCCCGCTGCCCCGGAAGCATTCCCGACGACCCTAAACCCAACCATATTTCACTCCAAAGCTAATCAATAAGATTTTCTCGCGAGTCCCGCGTAACAAAGTGCCCACGAACTTCGACAGAACAATTCATTAAACAACCACAAGCTCAGCGTGGATTCAGCTCAATAGACCTCCCCCAAAATCACGTAACAGTCGATTCTGCCCCATCCCGCTGGACGACAAGTGCCGAAGAAAAATGAAGGACGTCACCCCACCCTCTGCTCGATTATCCCAAAAAACACAGCAAATTACTTACGTACAAGCTCGATGCACTATCTCTCGAGCAATTTCCTGGAATGTATTTTCCTCACTGTTGAAGCAATAATGTCGGACCACTCACGACGGTACGTAAAATATCGAGTACTATATTAGAGGTTTCACGCCGTATTTACGTCACAAGACGCCAACAGCCCCGATCTACTGAAAATTCACAACAAACTACCCCTCGTTTTATTCTCCAAAGGACAGCTGAATCCTACCACATTGTCGATGCTAATTGATTGTATTAAATTTGTAAAGTATCCACCGAGTCCAAGCACGAAAACTCCTCTTGCACACTCGGTGAAGGGGTCAGAGTTGCCAGCGCGGTGGGGGTGGGAGAGGGTGTTGCGAGTGCGCCTGAGCTGGAATATGGCGGACGTTTTCGATGGAAAATGAGAGGGAGAGGATCGATAAACGTCCCCCTTCATATACGTTATGTTCGTTCTATCTTGGTGGCTCGCCAGAGGGCGAAACACCGGTGGCCGCCACATCCACGGCCGGTTTTTAAGGGCGCGGGGCGGGGAGGATCCGGCATTCGAGGGATATGGAGCTTTTTCGCCCTTTTGAGCTTCTATAGGGGTGGGAACGGCGTTGATTCACCGCGTCACTGGCAACTCAGTCGCGCGGCGTAACCACACGGAATAACGGAGAGGCTGAACGCGACCCCACGGACACTGTCCTTGACACTACAATGAGGAGATTGTTGGAGAGGAGGACAATAAAGGGATGGAGGAGACTTTTTGCTGGGGGGGGGATATTGATGGGCGGTGGATGGAATTAAAATGGTTGAGATTAGTGCGATTTTTAAGGACTTGGTGGGATGAGGTAAACGAAATCGAAATACGGAATTGAAGATATTTTATCTTTCTGTGTTGTAAAAATCCAAATCGACTTCTGGTGATGAAAAATTGGTAATGGAAAGTAAGACTCCGAACTTGAGGGTTGCAAGGGTCATAAGGGTCAGAATAAGGGTTGTGAGGGTCAATATAAGGGCCACGAGGGTCGGGAGGGTTGGATTAAGGGGTAGAATAAGGGCCACAAGGGTTTGATTAAGGGTTATGTGGGTGAGATTAAGGGTCGCAAGATGAGGGATCGTAAGGGTCTGAATAAGGGACATGGGACAAGCGTCAGAAACTAAAGGTTACTAGGGTCAAANGGGGGGGGGGGGGGGATATTGATGGGCGGTGGATGGAATTAAAATGGTTGAGATTAGTGCGATTTTTAAGGACTTGGTGGGATGAGGTAAACGAAATCGAAATACGGAATTGAAGATATTTTATCTTTCTGTGTTGTAAAAATCCAAATCGACTTCTGGTGATGAAAAATTGGTAATGGAAAGTAAGACTCCGAACTTGAGGGTTGCAAGGGTCATAAGGGTCAGAATAAGGGTTGTGAGGGTCAATATAAGGGCCACGAGGGTCGGGAGGGTTGGATTAAGGGGTAGAATAAGGGCCACAAGGGTTTGATTAAGGGTTATGTGGGTGAGATTAAGGGTCGCAAGATGAGGGATCGTAAGGGTCTGAATAAGGGACATGGGACAAGCGTCAGAAACTAAAGGTTACTAGGGTCAAAATAGGGGCCACCAGGGTCAATATAAGGTTCACAAGAATCAGATTAAGGGTTGCAAGATTAAGGATCACAAGGGTCAGAGTAAGGGTCTAAATAAGGGACATGAGATCAACAATTATATGTTCGCATTTTTAAAACAGTGTCCATCACTCTTTAAATGGTTTTGTTTTCATTACAGATTCATAAATGTTCGCTACGAGGAACGCATTTAGTGTGCAAAACGTTGGCGATTAATTTTTATGTGAGGGTTTCCTTTCTGTAATCTCCACAATTTAAATTAGTTTAGTGCAATCATAACTCGCAATAGGGCCTGGAGAAGACTTCAATTTTCATATAAATGACAGCGCTTCTAGAATAATAATTTATTCAATGACTTTCATTTGCGTAGCAAAGGAATCATCGTTTAAATCAAATAATCTTTATTTGATTCAGACAAACAGTTTCGTGAGGACAAGCAAATAAATGACAATAACATGTCATCAGACGTCAATTTGTTCGTCCCGACACAAATGAATTTTTAATTGTCAGCTAGGGATCGGCGGTCGCTTAGCAGCTGTCATTATCGATTTAATAATCGATAATAATATTCTGCCACTTATTGTGTTCGAGTTGAACGACACTCCGGACATATCCGTTTTTCTGTCGGTCTTTTAAATTTCATCGAGCCTCCATTAAACTTGATATCAATTTTTTATTGCGTTTTATTCATTAATCATGGAGGAATTCATCGATCACGTGGATTCTTCAAAGTGCGAGGCGAAATCCCCGATTAAATCTCACGTTGATCGACCCATTTTGGACAGCTCATTGCCCTACGTAAGTCAAACTCTCGTGTTTACTTTCCAGAAAATAAAATTATCTCGTTCCAATCTGGTCATAATTATGGTGAGCGCTATTTCATTGTAGATCCCTGTGTATAGCCATCTGATTACCCACGATCTGGTACCAGTTGAGCGACCGGCAACGCCGCTAGTCATTAAAATGTTGAGATCTGAGAATAGGTGATCGTAATACAAATGATACAAAATTTTTCATTAATGGAAAAAATTTGCATTTGCATTTGCATGTTTAACGCTAGACTGGACATTAATTTTCTCTTTTTAGGATTGAAACACCCGTCAGGAAGTCCTCGGAATCAAAATCCTCGAGCCGACTGGGCAAACGTCACTCGCCAATGCGCAGATAATTAAATGATCCAAAAATCACGTGAAAAATTACTGTGCAATCTAGATGGTCTCAATACTTTGTGTTCCACAAATTTTTATCTCAAATGAAGGACAAAAAAGTGAGGCAGAGAATAAATTTCACCCCTTCTAATATAATTGTTAGTTTTTGTTCGAAAAAATCCAAAAAAAGACGGATCAGCTCGATTGTATTTTGGACGCCCGGACATAAAAAATTGGAAATTTCGGATTTGGCGAATACAGCGCGTCCAATCGGTAGCAAAATGTGAGACAAAGGATAAATATTTCTCTTCGTAATATAATTGTGTTATTGATAAAAATAAATACAAGGAAGACGGATTAATTCTACTACATAGTTATTGAAGCTATTGGCAAATTTTTAAAGAATGTGATGTGAAAATCTAATTAATATGTTCCAGTTACTGATACATATTATACATTTACACATACTATATTCAATTTTTAGCTAATAAACCTTGTAGAAATGTTTCTAATGCTGAATAAAAATTCCGTTAATTTTATTTTCCCTGTATTTCTCTCCTTCTATTCTATTTTCGTTGCTCACCGATATATAAATTACGGACAAGAGCTTTTAATAGAAACTACGAGAATATTACATACAGTATTTCAAAAATAGTAATTCCATCAGTTTTTTAAATAACATAATCAATACTGCGGAGGAGATGTTGATGGCGCCACTGGATGGATCAATCGAGTGAAGTAAAATGTAAATGATGTGGAGGTTGAAGTGTCAAACCCATGAATATTCCGTATAGAATATCCTAACAGTCATGATCTTGCATTTTCTCATGATCTAATGAATCATTTCCCGAGTTCAACTTTTCGATCCTCAATTTTTAAACCTCGCGCTGCGATCTGCGCGCATGCGTCGACAAATCACGTGATCGACGTAATTTTAGCGCGGTAAAATAGAATATTCACTCAACAATTGCTAACAATTAACACAATTCAATATTTTTTACCGTGAAATAAAGTCTGAAATTCATTCATTGATGATTTTTTTTGGTTTTAGTCATTCAATTTTGATGCATTCAAAATTAATGACTTATTAATGACGATCTACGTGCTGCATTGAGGATATGGAGCGTCATAACCAATCACGGATGACTCCAGGGTCAACAACACACGTATGACGCGGTTTTGGGCTCCCCATGAACTTCGATAACAGATAATAGAGTACGTGCGCTAAAAATTAACCGATCCGGTCTCCACATGTTCAGTGATTGACTATCAGAGTCTCAATAGAATAGCCTATTTGCCACCATGCAGCTGATATCCAAGGCAGCCAAGGTATTCCAAGATATTTCAGTAAAAAAAATAGTCATTTGTTCCTTGAAATCTTTGAATTCTTTTCATAATGAAATTAATGAATGAATTATTTCAGACGTGTTTGGGGAGATGCAGGTCCTACAGTACTAGGGCCAATCTTAATGAGGTTGTCATTGTTAGTGCCACCAGGACACCCATTGGATCATTCCTCGGATCATTATCATCATTATCAGCTACTAAATTAGGAGCTGTTGCCATTCAGGTAACAAATAATCTATAGCTAATAAATGTTATTCTTATTATATATAAATATTATGTAGTAATTATATATTAATATTAATATTAATAATAATAATAATAACAACAACAATAAGAATAATATATTATTATTATTATTATTATTAATTATCATAATAATATCACTATTATTATTGTCATATATAATAATATTTAATATATTGTTTCAACATTATTTTCAATATTTTATATTAATAGTGATATCAATATTATTAACAATGGCTAGTATTGCTAATAGCTGATTGAATCGTTGATGAGACAAATTTTTGACACATGTACATGTGTTCCTTTCTTCAATCAAATGAGATTGTGCTGTTCACTGTTGATTTATGTTTTAGGGGGCTATTGAACGTGCTGGCATCGCCAAAGACAAAATCAATGAAGTTTATATGGGAAATGTCTGTCAAGCAGGATTGGGACAGGCACCGGCCAGACAATCAACAATATTTGCTGGTAATTTCATCTAGTTTTTGAAAAAAAATTTTAACAGTGTAATTATAAAAGAATAATTTCTTCTAAAGAATTATTCACTTCGGAGACATCATATCATTTATTTCTTCGCTCTTCCTGAATTTTTATTTCGATTCTTGTTAAAGTTCGAAACATAATATTCTTTGAATTTATTTGATGATAAAGTGTCCCTTTCAAACATTAAATTTGATAAAATTCCTGATATATGGTGAAAAAAAATTGATTTTTTATGGACAATTGACTAATAATTTTTGCGGTATAATGAAATTTTTCGGAGAGTGATATTGCATTCAATTTAGCGGGAAGAAATCATATTTCACTAAAAATTTAATAAAATTCCAAATTTTTGAATAGCAGGAAGACAAAAATTCTTCAGTTTAAGATTTTCCATCATTTTAATTCATTTTTATAGAACAATTGAACTGAAATCTGCACTTCCTATTGATTCTCCCACAAAATGGTCAATTTTCAATTACAAAATTCCTTGAAATTTCCCTGGAATTAATATGTGATACAATTTTTCAAGAAGTATACCGGAAATTTCAAGCATAAATACTCTTACCTGAGAATTTATTCACCTTATTGCCATCACCATATAGAATCCTATAGAAATCGCAATTTCTAGGGCTCCCAAAGTCCACAATTTGCACAACAATCAACAAAGTATGCGCCAGTGGCATGAAAAGTGTGATGCTAGCCTCTCAATCCCTCCAATGTGGCCATCAAGAAGTCATCGTGGCTGGTGGCATGGAGTCCATGTCCAACGTCCCATACTACATGAGGCGTGGTGTCACTCCTTATGGAGGTATCAACCTCGAGGTAAACTCTCGATATCCCAAAACCTGAATCTTTTTTTTAACATTCCATTTTTTATATTTCATTAATTTAGTCCAGATGGATACCCTCTCGGGTTTTCACATTTTGTTCCCTTCCCATTGCCCCACAAAATATGGAGAATACATATACATTTTCACATTTTTTTACATTTTTTATATCCTTATATATCTCAATATCCAGCTAGACAAGACTTTCGAAATCCTTTTTTATAAATAAATAATTGAAATTGTTTAAACTTTCGGAAACTTTATTTTTTTGGGCATGCAATCGATTTCTGGTAAAATTTTGAATATGAATAATTCCAAATGTATTTTTCTAAATTGATTGTTTATAAATTGTTTTTAAAAAATACACGTAATCTTCAAACATTTCAATTTTTCCATTACTTTATCCATCTTCCTCCAAAAGTATACTTTCCAATTTTTTCAGATTAAAAAAATTCCTTCTCACAGCTCAATATCAACAATAAAATTCAGACCTTCGAATTTTAAATTTAATAAAATATTTGTAAAATATTTTAAGTTTAATAAAATATTTGTAAAACGTCTGGAAACTTAGGGTGAAATGGGGCTCAAATGACAGTTCTGCTGTTCAACTACAAAATTAGAAAAGCATTTCACTGAAAAAAAAAAAAAATAGCCAAAGTACTTCGATATCCTAAAACCGTTTTACCAGTTGGCTACTTCATTAGGATATTCCATTCTAGGATGGAATCGTCGTAGATGGTTTGACCGATGTCTACAACAAATTCCACATGGGCAACTGTGCAGAGAACACCGCGAAGAAGCACCAAATAACTCGAGAACAGCAGGATGAGTTCGCCCTGAGCAGTTACAAACGCAGTGCAGCTGCCTGGGAGAATAAAGCCTTTCAGGATGAAATAGTTCCTGTGAGTGTTCCCCTTAAGAAGGGAAAACCTGATCTAGTTGTCTCTGAGGATGAGGAGTACAAGCGAGTGAATTTTGATAAATTCAGTGGCTTGAAGACTGTATTCCAGGTACACCCACTCGATTAAATTCCACAAATTCTAGACAATTCGACAAATTATTTAATGAGTCATTATATTGTTCATCCTGATTGTCAGAAGGAAAATGGCACTGTCACTGCGGGCAATGCGTCAACCCTGAACGACGGAGCTGCTGCTCTGATTCTGACAACAGCTGAGGTCGCCCAGAGAATGAATCTCAAACCGTTAGCTAGAGTCGTTGGGTTCCAGGATGCCGAGACTGATCCTATCGATTTTCCAATTGCCCCAGCACTTGCTATTCCCTCCGTAAGTATGAAAAACTACATTAAAAACGGAGAATTCTCTGTTTCATTCTAAAAATTGAATTAGAATCCATTTACCCAGGAGGGTGTCCCAGAACGGATCTGACATATCGTGAGGCTAGCTCGGGGGGTTATTTGGAGACGAAAACTCTAATGAAATTTTTGTCTCCGACGCTTTGTTTATAAGTTATCAAGGAAAAAGGACAGCCGATCAAACGCTATCCCCCGATAGAGAGATCATACCCCCTTTCCCATTCTTGGCAGAGGGATGATGGCATTGAATGTCCAATCGATTCCAATCAATTTCATTTCTTGATATTGAATGAGAGTGGAGATATGAATTTTTTACGTTGACTCTGATTTTTAGGGTTCCATTGCGTTTGGGAACCAAATGGCTCTGACGCCGCGTTGAAATTCATTGCGGGTTTTCTCACCCGGACATGATGATAGAAGAACAATTTTTTCTCAGATCATTGTGCATTAAATGCCCAATCGATTGCCATCATTTTCATTCCTCCAGCCAAAGTGAGAGAGGAGATATGAATTTTTTACGTTGACTCTGATTTTTAGGGTTCCATTGCGTTTGGGAACCAAATGGCTCTGACGCCGCGTTGAAATTCATTGCGGGTTTTCTCACCCGGACATGATGATAGAAGAACAATTTTTTCTCAGATCATTGTGCATTAAATGCCCAATCGATTGCCATCATTTTCATTCCTCTAGCCGAAGTGAGAGAGGAGATATGAATTTTTGCTTTGTTGACGAATAACTCCTTAACGAAGCGCCGGAGACAAAAGTTTCATTAGAGTTTTCGTCTCCAAATAATACCCCCGAGCTACCCTCACGGTATGTCAGATCAATTTTGGGACACCCTGTATATCATCTATAAAAAAAAAAATGTGGTATTACTCTATTGGATTTCCTTTTGAAGAAATTTTGTGAAAAATTTTTCGTAGGAATTCTGCTTCTGTGAAATAATAATTGATGTCAACGTTATACAATTTTTGTAAACGTCATTCTCGGTTTATTTTTCAGTTGCTGCAAAAAACTCAAGTTAACAAAGATGATGTAGCATTATGGGAAATCAATGAAGCCTTCAGTGTTGTCGTTGTCGCAAATCAAAAGATTCTCAACCTAGACCCCAGCAAAGTCAACGTTCATGGTGGTGCGGTCTCTCTGGGGCATCCCATTGGGTGAATATTCTTAAATATTTCCTGAAAAAGGAACGAATTTATCTAAATGACTGAAATTGTAATTTTTAATGCAGTATGTCAGGAGCGAGGATTGTTGTACACCTGGTGCACGCCCTGAAGCCTGGACAGAAGGGAGTCGCCTCGATCTGCAACGGTGGCGGTGGTGCCTCGTCAATAATGATCGAGAAACTGTAAGTCTTCCATTGGAATCCCTCAGACTGTTCAAAATATTGAAAGTTAATCAAAATAATCATGTTATTCTTTAATGTTGCATTTTGCAACAATTTTTTACGATATTTTGAGATGGATACGTGGAGTTTTATACTTTTATGACGAAATAAAAAATATTTTTCAACTGCAAGGTCCATAGATTTGTAATTTCATAAATTCCTTCACTTCGATGAGAACGTGATGACGGAAAAAACGAAAATGGCTCTAGATTTCATAGAATTGTTCTGATAATTAACTCAAATATGTTATCAGTCACAGCAATTAATAAAGATGAAGAAAAAATCACCGAATAAAACACCAGTTCTTGAAGATATCGAAAATTAATCGAAATAACCATGTGTTTTTTTTAGTTGTATTTTGCAAGGAATTTTTACAATAACTTGAGAAGACTATATGAAGTTTTATACTTTTTATGAAGAAATAAGATAATTTTTTTTAATGGAAATTCAATTGATTCGTAATTTAGTAAATTCCTTGACTTGATGAGAACGTGATAACGAAAAGAACGAAAATGGCTCTAGGTTTGATAGATTTGGTCTGATAAGTGACCCCAATATCATATCAGTTACAGCTATTGGTAAAAATGAAAACGAATCGTAAAATAAAAATCCAAGACTTGAAATTATCGAAAATTAATCGAAATGACCATGTGCTTTTTTTTGAAGTGGTATTTTGCAACAAATTTGTACAATACCTTCGGAGAGTATGAAAAGAACGAAAATGGTTCTAGATTTGATAGAATTGTTCTGATAATTGACACAAATATGATATCGGTCACAGCAATTGGTAAAGATGAATAAAAAAATCGCAGAATAAAAAACCAAGACGTGAAAATATCGAAAATAAATCAAAATAACTATTTTTTTAAAGTTGTATTTTGCAAACAACGTTTCCAATAACTTGAGAGGACTATATGAAGTTTTACACTTTTTACGAAGGAATAAAATAAATTTTTTTAATGGAAGTTTCACAGGTAGTTTCGTAATTTCATAAGTCCCTTCACTTCGATAAAAACGACAAAGTTCTCAAGCAAGTCTTACTTGTGCCAAGGAAATAGTTTTTTTGAAAATTATCAAAAAAGGATTTTTTTTGTGCCAAACATGCAGAGAGTGCGCCGGAATGAAAAATTTTTGTCGCAAAAATAGATTTAGTAGTTCAACAAAAAATCGCATTCTCTGTAAACGCAAGAAATGTCATTTTTAGCACTACTCCTTCGTTATTCGATACTCCCATACGTATTTTGCTCCCGAAAAATCTTTGTTTTATGCGAAACAAGGGATAGTGGTTTTTCATTTCGGCTGTCTAATAATCACAGACAAGAAATGAAACAATAATAATGATATGATAGCAATCCTGTAACTTAGGGATAAAATATTTGTTGATAAATTTCCCTCTATATGAGATATTTTATCCTGAAAGGGCACCGTCTGGTGTGAATTATCCGCCTCTTGAGCCAAATATTTCGTTGCTGTCTAAAGCAGAACAATTATTCAGGTTTGAGACTTTCAAATTCGAACCAGACAAATTCTTTTTTGGCAATTTTCAACTAGCGATTTTGTTGGCCCAAACAAGACTTGTTTGACAACGTGTTTCTTTTTCTCTCAGTGTACATCATATAGAATTGTCCTGATAACTGACTAAAATATGCTCAATCTGCTATCAATCACAGCAATCGGTAAAGATATTGAATTACTCCTCGATAATATCACAATTACCGAAAAAAAGTCGCGGAATGAAAAATCAAGACGCGTTTACCCGCAAATCCCGCAGGTCGCATCCAGTTTCATCGCCACCAAGGTTGACACTATTCACAAAAAATCCCTGTCCCCTCTGTGACGTACTCAAAGAAACATTGAAATGTCAATTTTCCGGGCGCTACCAGCTGGACCAAGTCGACATAACATCACCAGGAAACGAAGTTTACCACAAACTCTACAAATACGAAATACCAGTGCTCTTTCTCGAGGGCCAATACCTGTGCAAACACCGATTGGACGTTCAACTCCTGCACAAGAGACTGGAGGAAATCGAGAGCAGATGCTGAGACCATTGTATTTTGCCCTTGAAAAATGTATAGTAATGAATGCATTGTGAGAATTACTTGAAAAAAATTGCTACAAAGGCACTCCTTTTCTATTCAAATTTATAGCAATTAGCTTGGGGTTTTTTGTACTCGGTTTCTATGCATGTTTTATGCATTACATAGTAATTATTAGCACTTATATTCGAGTTTCTCGTCTCGGTTTTGAGGGGAATTGGCTCTTTTATTTCGTTTAATTCTTAGCTGCTTTCATAATTCAGTAGCGAAGCGGTAAAACGGTTTAAGAAGAGCGTACTATGGGTCTTAAAATTCGCGGGTTGTTGGAGTGAGATGATCATGCATTGAAGATCGATTATATGTTTCGAAAAGCGAATAATCAATGCAAAATAATTAATTGTTTATTGTTTCTTTGCCCCGCAGACGCTTGAAGTGTTAAAAATAGTCCAGGGTCTACAATTTTGGAGCTGCAGAGTTTTTTTTTCATAATTCTTGAAAAAATGTGTGCAATAACAATTACGAATGAGTTTTTTCTTAATTCGACCCCTACACAACTAATTTCGTTATTTTTTAAAATAAAAATTGCACCATTCATGCAGAATTGCCCGAAAAATGTTTGGGAAAGAATCGAAAATATATTTCAATTTTAAGGATTTTTTTTCTGTCTATTTTACATAAATGGCGCAAATTTTCATTTAAACAAAACAAAATTAACTGTGCAGGAGTCATACGATGTTAGCTTTTTTTCAAATGTTCGCTACTTTATTCGTTTTTTACTTTTTACTTTATTCGTAATAGATCATGAATAAATAAATTTTGAATTTCATAAATTTTTTGTGTCTCTGGAGTAGGACTGAAAATTCATTATTTTTAGTAATTGATTTTCTTTTGAACCGGCCTTTTTGCTTCAACCTGCCATTTTTTCTTCCGGCAGCATTGTAATCGTTCAAATTTAGGTTTCGGATTTTTCGCCTTATATCGACCCGTTATGATCCAAAAAGTCCGAAAATTCAATTTTTAGAACTTGTCCATACAAATTTTTCTTCGATTGTTCCCTCTTGAATCGATGGAATTGAATCTTTTTTTCCTCAAATGCAGGTATTGTTGGGCCCTATCAATCGCCATTAATTAAAATTCAATTCATTTATTAAATTTTGCAAATTTTTTAAATATTTCAAAAATCGTTTTTTCCGCGATAACTAAAAAAAATATTCTGAATTGATTGAACGACGGCTTAAAAAATTTGTTTGGATGTCCCTTTGGTTTATTTGCAAATTCGCAGAAATTTTGTATTTTTTGAAATAACATTTTATCGAAGAACTGAGAGGAGAGCTAGACCTGAAAAAGACAAATGGTTGTACAGAAGAATGGATTAATAAGAATAATGATGATGACAACTTTCCACTAACTTGAGAATCTGACAAAATCAGTTGAAAACAAATCTTATTCAATTTGATAAAATGAAATAAACAACGAATTATCCACGATAGAAGGAAATGATGTGCAAAATAACCATTCGGAAGCATACTACTAATTTAGGGGAGGTCGGGGAAAAACAGACACTTTTGACTTTTTTAAAAATGTTTATGAGGAGTTGAAATTTTGATGAAATTTAATAATTTTTTTTTCAGTACAAAAACAATTCTTTCCCGTTGTGACGAGCCTAACCTGAACTTAATTCAATAGCGAAGTGGTAAAGCGGTTTAAGTCGACTCATCTCCCAGTTGAGTTTTTGAGGAATATTTCCAAATATAAGGGAGATAGCGAAATTTTTGTAATTTCATTTGTTGTAGCACTCAATCGGCTCTACAAAAAAGTTTGTAACAACAATATCGCTATCTCCCTTAGATTCCGAGATATTAATTGAAAACTGATCAATAGTCAAAATTGACTCATACCGTTTTACCATTTCGCTACCGAATTGATAAATTTGTTTCTGAGTTATGCACAATTTAAAATAAGTCTAAAGTCTCCATTTTACCTCAACCTCCCCTACTAACAAAAATAACTATAGGGGAGGATGGGGTAAAACGGACACTAGACTTTTTTCAAATTATTCATAACTCAGAAACAAATTGATCAATTGAGCTCAGTTTAGGCTCGTCACAAAGGGAAAGAATTATTCTTTGTATTCTAGGAAAAATGATCAAATTTTATCAACATTTCAACCGCTCATTAAAATTTAAAAAAAAGTCAAAAGTGTCTGTTTTACCCCAACCTCCCCTACTATCCCCAATGCAGAAGCAATTTCCCCCTTTTGTTCATAAAAATCATATTACAATGTTCAATTCCTAAAAACAATGAATTTTCCATCTACCTTTTGGTCTGGTTACCCCATCCCCTCGATTAGGGGAGGGTAAGGTAAAATGAACACTTTTGACTTTTTAAAAAATATTCATAACTCAGAATCAGATTTATCAATTGAGCTCAGTCTAAGCTCATCACAAAGAAGAATCATTGTTTTTCAAATGAAAAATGAAATTATTCCATTTCATGAACAATTCAACATGTCATGAATATTTCAAAAAAAGTCAAAAGTGTCCGTTTTACCCTACCCTCCCCTACTATCCCCAGTGCAGAAGCAATTTCCCCCTTTTGTTCATAAAAATCATATTACAATGTTCAATTCCTAAAAACAATGAATTTTCCATCTACCTTTTGGTCTGGTTACCCCATCCCCTCGATTAGGGGAGGGTAAGGTAAAATGAACACTTTTGACTTTTTAAAAAATATTCATAACTCAGAATCAGATTTATCAATTGAGCTCAGTCTAAGCTCATCACAAAGAGGAATCATTGTTTTTCAAATAAAAAATGAAATTATTCCATTTCATGAACAATTCAACATGTCATGAATATTTCAAAAAAGTCAAAAGTGTCCGTTTTACCCTACCCTCCCCTACTCGTCGCCGCGCGATCCCAACCCCCTGCGCTGAACTTATCCCCAAGAACCTGCCCCATCCCCCCCCCCCGCCCTTCCCAAAAAGCCGTCTGTCCCATCCCATCGCAGGTAGCCTTCCAAAACTTTTTCCCCTCCCCACACGCCGCTAACCCCTCGTAACCAAGCGAGAACCACCAACCTCGCGCCCTCCAGGTCAACAAAGACAGCGAGCGCGTGCACGCGCGTAGAATCCCGAATTCAAGGACATCGAAATGTCTCCGAGGCCGAAGGAGGTGAGGAGCGACCACCTGAAGACGATGTCGACGCCAATGGCCGAGACACAGGTCCGTGCAGGTCCGCGTTATACAGTGCAAACGCACAGTCTCCTCTTCTTTCTCCTCTTCGTCCGCCTCCCACCGGCGTGAACCCCATAGTCCCACTACACCCGACTTGTTTCGCCATGTACTGTATAACGCCCCTCTCTCTCGCGCTTTCCCCTGACCGTCTCACCAACACAACAATAATCCAAACCCACTGTACACAGCGGGCGTTTCTGTCTCACTCCTGCGCCCACTTTTTCCGTCCTTGTTCCGTTCCACCGTTCGTCGTACCCTAGGCCACCACTGTACGTGACTCGGTGAATGCACGCGCTCAAAAGTGCCCAGCCTGTCGCTCTTCTTCAGTATAGTGTGTCGAAAATTCGGATTTCCTCACGGTTTTTGGATTGCGCGGATATTATTGGTGATTTTGATAATATTGTCGAGGTGTTTGGAGTTCATTGACGAGACATTCCGCGGAATTTTGAGGAGAGTGAGGGGAATTCGGGGGGTTTGAGGCAGTTTAAGGCTTTGGGAATGGCATGTTCTACCTGATCTCTTGAGGTAACAAGATGAGGAGAATTGAAGTTTTTTAAGTGACATTACTGAAGAGTTTTTTAAGAGTTGTTTTTTTTTAATGTGAACTCGGGATGTCGAGTGCTGATTTGAGTTCGGGAATCGGTCTGCCGTTCCGTGTGTCGAAAATTCGGGTTTCCTCACGGTTTTTGGATTGCGCGGCTATTATTGGCGATTTTGATAATATCGTCGAGGTGTTTGGAGTTCATTGACGAGACATTCCGCGGAATTTTGAGGAGAGTGAGGGGAATTCGGGGGGTTTGAGGCAGTTTAAGGCTTTGTGAATGGCATGTTCTACCTGATCTCTTGAGGTAACAAGATGAGGAGAATTGAAGTTTTTTAAGTGACATTACTGAAGAGTTTTTTTTTAATGTGAACTCGGGATGTCAAGTGCTGGTCTGTCATTCCGTGTGTCGAAAATTCTGTTTTGTTCAAGGTTTTCATATTGTGTACATAATATTGATGATTTTGATAATATCGTCGAGCTCTTTGTAGTTAATTGACGACACATTCTGTGGAGTTTTGACGAGAATGAGGTGAACTCACGGAGTTTAAGGCTCTGAGAATGGCCTACCTGCACTCTTGAGGTAACAAGAAGAATTGAAGTTTTTCAAGTGACATTAATCAAGAGTTATTCAATTTAAGAGTTAGCTTTTTTAATTTGAACTCGGGATGTCAAGTGCTGGTTTGAGTACGTGAATCGCTCTCGTCGCGTTTCCTCACGGTTTTCTTATTGTGTACATAATATTGACTATTTTGATAACATCATCGAGGTCTTTGCAGTTAATTGGCGACACATTTCGTGGAATTTTGATGAGAATGAGTGAATTCATTGAGGTTTAAGGCTTTGCGAATGGTCTGTTCTACCTGCACTCTTGAGGTAACAAGACGAGAAGAATTAAAGTTTTTTAAATGACATTAATGAAGAGTTACTCATTTTGAAACTTAGATTTTTTTCTTTTTAATCTGAACTCTGGATGTCAAGTCCTGTTTTGAGTACGTGAATTGTCATTCCTCTTCAGCACTGTGCGCCGAAAATTTGAGTTTCCCCGCGGTTTTCTTATTGTGAACATAATATTGACTATTTTAATAACATCATCGAGGTCTTTCTAGCTAATTGACGACACATTCCGTGGAATTTTGACGAAAATGAGGTGAATCCATTGAGTTTCAACTGAGTTTTTAATAAATCGAGAAGACTTGACGATTTTTAAATGACATTAAACAAGATTTTTTCATCATTCATTAATGCAGAGCCATTTTTTTCATCTGAATTACGAATGTTAAGTGCTGTTTTGAGTACGTGAATCAGTGAATGTTTCTCTTCTTCAGTACCGTCCACGAAAATTCGTGTTTCCTCACGATTTTAACATTTTCTGCATCAAATCAATGATTTTAATAATATTATCAGGTGTTCGTAGTTAAATGAAGACGGATTTCGTGGAATTTCGACGAAAATAAAGTAAATTCATTGAGTTTTTTAAAATTACATTTATGAGTGCCCGGATTTTTGGTGTTGTTTTGAGTTTGTGATGTGACTGAAGTGAATTTAAAACAAAGAAAACAACGAGAGGATCCAGAAAGGGTCTGAAGATGTGCGAAAACAACAGGAGCTGGAGAAAATCTTCAATTCCAAAGTGAATAATCCTAGGACTAAGATTGACTGCTGGATCTTTCCGAGGTAGTTATCCCTTTATTTACGATCGTGGGTTGTGGATTGGGGCAATCGTAAACTTTTAAAGCGTTTTTATTTATGAGCGATAATGATAAGTCGTAACGCTAACGGGGGACACGAGATAAACCGTAATCTGGGGTGACCTAGAGGCCTTTAATGTTCGGTTGAAGACGCATTTTCCGAGTTTTGTGAGGATTTTCTCGAGAGAATGAGGTGCTAATGGCCCCGGTGGGGGTCGACGAGAGGTTGCTCCATAGGAACCATGAATTAACACAACTGAAACTGAAATATCACACCTCAACGAGAATTTATTCCATCCGCTCTCAAAAGTCAAGTTACACTTTCGAATATCTTCTAATCTATGGGAGATAGCGAAATTTCGATGATAACATTTTTTGTAGATCTTGAAATTCTCTGCAAAAAATATAGTCACCAAAATTGCGGTAGCTCGCTTAGTTTCCGAGATATTTCCCAAAAATGATCCTCAGGAAAATCAACATGAGTTAATTCCCCAAAACTAAAGTAAATTTTCATTTCTCTTCACTTTTTTCTCTTTTAATTCCACCCAACGTCGGAATAATGTCGAGTATCTACTCTCCTGCAATTGAATTCTCCGTACTGTCTGCGGAGAGCAGATATGTCGGGTCAATCAGGGTGAAGTGTCTGGCGAAGAGACGAAAAAGAAAAGAGTAAAAAGTGATTCAGAAGTTTAATGCATCGCATTGTCCTATGCACCGAGCAAGGTGAGGGTTTTTTACGCATTACTAATGTCCAGGAAGCGATAAAAAATTAAAGAAAAAACATGAGGTGCTTATCTCCAAGAGCAACGCAATTTTTTCCTGAATATTATTTTCCTTTCCTCGTTTGGTTCTTGTGAAGACACCGTGGAAGCCTTATCGAGTTGGATGGACGAGGTCGGTGACTCGGTGGCTGGGTGTGATTGGATGGGAAATACTAAAATTCGTGCGTCAGTCCATCGAAAATAACGTGAACAATAATTGGCAGACTAATTAATAGAAAAGAATAATTAGGTTAATTTTGTCGGTAATTTTTTTATTTTTATACGAATTTTAACGGCTCCTCCGGGTTTTCTAATTGGAAAATTTAATAGTTTTATGCAGAAAAAATGTTGCTCGATTTATTTTAATTTTAATTCAGTAGCGAAGTGGGGAAACGGCTTAAGTCGACTCATCTCTCAATTGAGTTTTTGAGGAATATTTCCGAATCTAAGGGAGATGGCGGAATTTTTATTATAACCTTTTTTGTAGAGCCGATTGAGAGCTACAACAAATGTAAATCTGCAAATTTCGCTATCTCCCTTAGATTCGGATATATTCCTGAAAAACTCAACTGGGAGATGAGTCAACTTGAACCGTTTTACCACTTCGCTACTGAATTTTTTCATTTCAAATTTTATTTTCATTTATTTATGTAATTTATTTGTTTATGCGTCAATTCATGAAAAATGACGTTCACAGTAATTAAGTCAATGAATGAATGGAAAATAACAATTATTCAAATTTTATCGATCAATTTAATTTTTTTTTCAATTAATTAATTTTGTGGATTTGAGAGGAATTCGTTCTATTGGAACATTCAATAGTTTTCTGCACAAAAAATGTTACTCAATTTATATTCACCTGGATTAATTTATTTGAACACAATAATCCGCATGTTAATCCATGAAAACTGACGTTGACAGTATTAAGAGCAATAAATTAATAGAAAACAACAACTTCTTCAATTTTATCGATCAATTAATTTTTTTTTGTCAGTTGAAACTTGTATATGTGAGGGGAATCCGTCCAATAGGAACATCCAATCGTTTTTTGCATAAAAAAAGTCCCTCTATTTATATTTATTAAAATTCATTCATTTCAATACAAAAATTCGTACGTTTATCCATTCAAAATGACGTTGACAGTAATTAAGGTCAATGAATTGATAGAAATCAACAATTATTTCAATTTCATCGATTAATTAAAATTTTTTTTGTCAATTAAATTTTGTGTATTTGAGAGGAATTCGTTCTCTTGGAACATTCAATGGTTTTCTGCATAAAAAATGTCACTCTATTTATATTCATTTGAATTAATTTATTTGAATCCGAAAATTCGTGCGATAATCCATGAAAAATAACGCCAACAGTATTTAAGGTCAATGAATTGATAGAAATCAACAACTATTTCAGCTTTGTCGATCAATTTTCGATTTTTTTATCAATTAAATTTCCAGTTGTAGATATGACAATATACATTTCACGGACTGCGTTACACGCGAGTATAATTCTATTTACTACGGGTTGAAACCATGAGTCATTCTGAGCCCATGAAAAAATCAATGTTGCGGCTAACGCTTGTTACATTCTACGTGTACCTACACCATGTAAATGTCTCAGCGAAAACTCTCGATTCACTCATCCTCACAAAAAATTCCAGTCAAGTCGACTATTTGATGAGAATTTTACTGTAAATCTCCCGTTTATTTTATATGGAGAAAATTTTTCATTAAAAATCATTCCGAAAGTCCAGAAATTCCCCAAAGTTTTGGGCAGGTATGAATTTTTCGTAAGACTGTGATGAAAAATGAAATAACTCTGCTAAAAATTACAAATTTTTGGAAAACTTGCTAGAATTATTTCATTTTTCACTAGAGTTCTTTTAAAAATTCCTATAAAAACGCGAATACTTTGCACAAATACTAGATTTTTTTTTTAGAGTGATTTTCAATAGAAAATTTTCCCTGCGTCGAATAGACAGAGATTTAAGGTATATCCCTAGAAAAAAAGTGTTTCTTACGATTGTCCCCATGCTTTTCATGAGTAACGTTTATAATATTCTTTAGCAACTGAAAAAAAAACTAACTGAACTATACCGCACTGTTCAGGAGATAAGAAATAAAGAAATGCGGGCTTCTAACACGCGAGATATCATCGGTCAAGCGGCGGTTATGTGTCCCCAACTCGATTTTCCCGTCTTATGAGAAAACGGTTCTTGCGATGTTCTTGAAAATGAATCCGTAGTAAATTAGTGAATTCCGAATTCGGTGAATTTTTTGGAAAATTTAATAGAAGATAGTTTCTGCGATATTCAACTCTAAAAAATGAAAATTTCGTGGAATCATTTCTTACTTGATTGAAACAATTAATTAACAAGCAAGTTCTTATGTGATTCAAGCAGTTATTGCCGTCATCAATCACATGAAGATAAAAAAACTTAATAACTTATGATAAATTCAGTAATTTAGAATTTTTTTCGGAAATTCGTATGGACAATTGAGATTTTTATTATTTACAAAAGACTCCGCCCAACGCCTTTTGTCGTGACACTCAACCATTTATTTTTCCATTTATTTACATAGAATAGATGTACCGATAGGTATAGGGGAGGGTGGGGTTAAATGGACACTGTAGACCTTTTTAAAATTATTCATAACTCAGAAATGAATTTATCAATTGAGCTCAGCTCAGGCTCGTCACAAAGGGAAAGAATTGTTCTTTGTATTGAAAAAAAATTAACTTTCATCAGCATTTCAACCCCTCATTAACATTTGAAAAAAAGTCAAAAGTGTCCGTTTTACCCCAACCTCCCCTAATGTTATTATAATTTTTTAAGGATTTGGTCCCCACCGAATTTGACCCCTCACATAAACCTCACATAACCCCCTTATGACGCCCAAATAATCCCCAGAAGTCCTACACAGATATGAACATATTAAAGAGATAAATATAATTCTTTATTCTTTTATCAGTTTCATTATTAGGGTCAGAATTGGGGTCACAGTGAGGGTTAGAATGAGGAGCGTCTCCTGAATTTTTAAACGTCCTTATTTTTTTACTATATAGAGAGGCAAATTTCACAAAACGAAAAGCAAACGAAAGTTTTTTTGTTTGTGTCATTGTAATTTTGACCTAAAATACTCCTAATTTCATTTTTCCACTAAAGTTGTAGAAAATAATAAAAATAATAAAATATTCCCCTAGAGTTGAATTGAAAAAAATATCCCCTCTATTTACATAAACGGGTACCTGCAACGATTAGATACGAAAGAATAATTCCGAGCATTCAGCGGTTGATACCTGTTCGGAGTGAATCATACGAGAAATATTTGTATTACTGGTTTCTGGAGATCCGGTTGCTTGGCCCCATGAAATAACTGTATTTTAAATTACCCCGGGGTGGAACATGATTCAATGAATTATTTAGTATTAATCATTTTCGGAGTTTCGTAATGTGTTATTGCGTCGTGAATAAGATTGCCAGGTGACGAAGGGAAAGGGGAGCATTTCGATTTGTGCGATTGTCCACTAGAAGAGAGTGAGTGTGAATCGGGTAATCGATGACTCATGGCCCAGTCACTCGAGGGGTCTGTGGTATTGTACATAAAATATTTAAAAATTGATTCTGTTAGAATCGCCATTTCGAGAATCGCTCTTTCGTTCGGGCCCAAAAAACATTCACATCTTGCCTGACATTTTATTTCATTTCATTAACATTAGATCATAAAATTCAAAAATATTCATATCCCGCCCATATTCGAAGAAAAAACCGTGATTCCAAGTTTCCATCGACAGAAATGAAGAAAAACAAACAAACACTGTACATAATAAGAATAATAATGAATGCAATTAAATTAACCTAATGGCCGTGACTATTCGCACCATTGCGTGAATCACTCCCGTACACTCCATACACTCCACGCATGCGTGAAGTTTGTGTGTTTCACGCAGCCGAATTTTCATACTGCTGTGTATTTCACGCAGTTGAAGTTTCATACTACTGTGTGTTTCATGCAGTTGTATTTTTATACATCTGTGTGTTTCACGCAGTTGTATTTTTATACACATGTGTGTTTCACGCAGTTGTATTTTTATACACCTGTGTGTTTCACGCAGTTGCATTTTGATACGCCTGTGTGTTTCACGCAGTTGTATTTTTATACATCAGGACTGCGTTTTTCCACTTCCTAGGCCTTATACAAGATAAATTAAATTAATTTTTTTTGGC